CTGTTTTTCCTCACTAAAAACTCAAACGGAAAAGAATGAGATGGAAACATTAAAACCCTGATACATTTAGCTGGTCCCATTTGGCAATCCAAAATATGTTGCAGCCAAAACATTGCTTCTAATGAGAATACAATCACCACAAACATGAGTGAGTAGTGTGGAATCACAGATGGGAAGCAGTAATCAATCAGGAGAAGCAAATGTGATCGTAACACTGGAAGCCAAAGCTGTACTGGAATTCAAGAACACTCCGGTTCAAAACTGAGGGCATTCCTAAGAAAGAACAGTCTGGAGCAGTTATGTTAGGTATATTCAGCTTCAAGAGCTTAATAAAGCTTAAAGAAGGTATTGAGAAGTATAATTCCTAGGGAGATCCCCAAACTTCAGGATAGCCATGCAGGGCCTCTGAGGATCTCCATTAACATCTTTTCACACTTAAAAGTACACTTACGTTTTGGATAGGGATTTTCAGTATGCAACAGGAATTTAAGAATTAAAACAGGACAAACCCATACTTTCCAACATTTAACGGAGGAAAGCTGGGAGATATATGTTCAGGCAAGCTCTGAATGTAGTCAAGATGGCAAAAGTAATTAATAAAACACAGAACCTAAGAGAGATTGCAACAGTTTGCTTTTGTCTGAGCCTACTGGGAAGAGCAAGATCCTGCTACCTCCTCTCTTCTCAGGCACCTTCTACACTGTCGTATAAAATCCAGATTATCTGCTTTGAACTGAGTTATATGGCAGTATAGACCTATGCAATCCAGTTCAAAGCAGATAATATGGATTATCTGCTTTAGAAATAATATGGCAGTGAAGTGACCTTCATTTACTGAGTGCATACTGTACTTTGAACTCAGTTTTCTGCTATTGAAGTAAGCTGAAGAGAAAGTGAGTGTAAGAGAAGGAAACTAGACATTTTAAAAGTAGATGAAAAGTAGGATGACAGAGGATTAATCACAACTATCCTTACCAAATTGGGACAGTTAATAGTGCATGTAAGTCACATGCAACTGCAAGTCAGGCCCCTTCCACACTGCCAGATAATCCACGTTACCAAAGCTGAAAATCCGCATTATCTGATTTGAACTGGATTATTTCAGTCTGCACTGCCATATAATCCAGTTCAAAGCAGATAATGTGGATTTTATACAGCTGTATAGAAGGGTCCTCAGAGAGTGAGGGAGCCAGGATTTTCAACAGCAGTCGAGTTCACTTAATTTGTCCTGTTTGATGATTTTCTAATACTCTCTATGCCAGGGCTTCTTAAATCTTTTCCACTCACAATCACATTCTGCCCAAGAAATTTTTCATGACCCCTTTCTGCATGGTCATTTTTAAGCAAACCCTGATATAAAGGTCTATAAAATAGGTATAAAAATCAAACATTTACTGGTAATAAATCAGTATTTGCAAGACTTGTCAAAACAGGTGAATTTTCCTTTTTATGAAGTACAACTGAAGCGATTTCTGAAGAGTAAACCCTGCATGTTGTTGCTAACAGATTTGTCTACATGTCTAGGTGCCATTCAGAAACCTTTTACTTTTGCACTTTTTGTTACCCCAATATTGAGATTAAGGGGACTCCATTTGGGGTTGGGACCCACAGTTTAAGAAGCAGTGCTCTATGCTAACAAATGAATCTTTAGTATAGTGCAAAAACACCAAACTTTATGGTTAGGCGTAACAATCTGCTAGGATTTCTCTTCTCTTTATCAACGATGCAAACTTCTGAAAAGGCCACACCAAGGCCAGATGAGGGCCCTTGATCAGTTTCCAAATTAGGAACCCCTTTATGCATGCATGTGGACAACACAACGCTTTAGGTATCATGAGAAACAACAACACATCTGGGTTTTTGTAGGGTTTTTTGGGCTGTATGGCCATGGTCTAGAGGCATTCTCTCCTGACGTTTCGCCTACATCTATGGCAAGCATCCTCAGAGGTACCTCCGAGGATGCTTGCCATAGATGCAGGCGAAACGTCAGGAGAGTATGCCTCTAGACCATGGCCATACAGCCCGAAAAAACCTACAAAAACCCAGTGATTCCGGCCATGAAAACCTTCGACAATACAACAACACATCTTTTCCACTGCATGAACCCATTTTTAAGCATTTTTGATGAAACTGACAGCCTGATCCTATGCATTTTTGCTCAGTTATCCAAGTAACCTTCGAAATATTAATGGCAATAGAAACATTGAGTGGTTCATCAAAGTAATTACACTCGACTGCTCTACCAACGATGTGCTTCCAGTAAATAGCATTCTGCAAGACATGTTGGCTCAGTATTCAGTGTTTTAGAGTCCACTCATAGCTGGGAGTTTTGCTTAGGAGTTTGTTTTCATCCTGTGATTAGTAAACAGTGACTACTTTCAAAGCACATCACAGAAGATGTCAATCTAAGAGGCATTTGGAGTTAAATTTTTGCAATATTTTGATATCACTATCTGGATGTAAATTACATCTTGGCAAACTGGATTTTGCACAAAACCCATTATTTGTGAGAAATACAACTTTTTTTGCAGAATACATTTTATTTATTATTTATTTATTTCACGCATTTCTACCCCGCCCTTCTCAACCCCCGAGGGGGGACTCAGGGCAGCTTACAAAGGCACAATTCGATGCCAGCATAAACATAACAATGGATAAAACATGTAAACAGCAATTATAACAATTACGACAGTCAGTTTATACATCAAAATCAATAAAAACAATAAAAACAATCTAATGCTCAGCGTTCGCCATCTCAGAGTCCATAAATTCATTCCACATTGTCAAGTACTATCGATTCTGGTCGTCATTGTCCTTATCTATTTTACGAAAAACAAAAACTATTTTTTTAAAAAAGACTCAACTTTTTAGTCCGAGACAGGTAAAAAGAAAGCTTGCAGCCACTAACAGTTTTTTCAATAAGAGTGTCCAGTCAGGTCAAGCCACCTTTTCTCATCAAGGAAAAAAAAGCTGTCATGGAGGTATTGTAGGAATCTGGGATTTGTAGAGTGGTCAAGCAGCAGAGCTCTCTGGCTTACAATATCTCACAAAACAAAAAAATCCTTAGAGATCGGAGCTACAATCATTAAAATCATATAAAATGCTTTAGAAAACATATTAATCAAGGACGACATGTCTACCTTCCAAGTGATACCTAGAAAGCTTTAGAAATTATAAAAAGTAATCACAAACCTCCTGGCCAGAAGCATATTACAATGGCAGCAGGATATGTAAAACATCCACTGACCCAATAGTTTCTGGGGCTTTTCTAGAGCTAAGAAGCCAGTTTGAGTGGAGTCACATTGGGTCAGAAGGACCCTCAGATAATATTCCTGGGAAAACATCTTTAAAAGTATACTAATTTTGTTGCCAATCTATACTTTATAATGTTACTGCAAACAAGACTATTGGGAAATAAAATCCATAGAATTTAATGGGTATTCCTCCTAAATAGATATAGATATAGATATAGATATAGATATAGATATAGAATTTTAGCCAGGCAGAAAAACCCTACCTTACACTGTCAAATGAGAGGAGGCAGGGGCAGGACCACTGATTGAGTAATGAATGCGATGCCTATCCTGCCATTTCCCTACCTGGTTAAGGAGATAATGCTTCCCACTGAATGAACTGGAAGGGAATTAATTACAGCCCTAGGGCCAACCTAAGCACATGAGTACATGACGAAATGAAAGTGTTGTGTTTCCAAACCCACTCTATTCTACCACACTCCACTGGAAGAAAAACATAGGACAGAAAACTCCCTGCAGAAAGGTCAGGGGACCTCTAACAGCCAAAGTGTTATCCTGCCAGGATACCTCCATTTCTGCTTGCAGAGCTGAATTATCACTGCTGGGAGGATTGCTCATTTGCTCAATAGCATAAAGTAATTTAATGTTTACAAGGGCAATTGTCTCATTTCCTATTTCAGCTCAGAAAATTTTGAGGAAAATACAATATCTGAATGAAGAAAAAATGCTCTGTTGTATATTTGGGAATCTGCAAAATATTCAATGAATTCACATGATTGATGCCCTTCTTGACTGAAAGTTTCTTACACCTATGAACTGACTATAGCCAGGAGTGGATCCTGACATTTATAATACAGAAGTTAGTTAATTAAACATATCTACACCGATTTGATGATTGAAAATGAGATACAGTCTCTCACTTTGTTAAATACTCAAGCAACCGTATGATACAGGGCCCTTTCAGACAGACCTCAATCCCGAGAAGAATTGGGATATTTTATCCCAGTTCCTCCTGGGATTGAGGCCCACATCCACCTTAATACTGGTCTTTCCTGGAAGGGGAGGCTACATTCCCTCCCAAGTTAACCCTCCTCCCCTTCCCAAATTCCTAGTGCATTATTTTCACATGCCAGGAGCATTCGCTCTAGGGGACCAAGCATGCAGCCAGATAAGTGGAGATCACAGAAGCAGTCTGGGGAATCAATCCCAATAGGACCCACACCAGGAAAGATCTGAACATTGCATTAAGATTCAGATCTTTCCAGGCATTTTATTTTCCAGAATAAACTAGTAAATCCCAGTTTATATTGTAACCCAAGGCAGGTCCCACATTTTGTGCCTGCCTGGAAAGGACCATAGCTATTTCAGCTGAAATATATCTAACGGCCACAAAATGATAGGAATAAAAAAGGAAAAATAGGAATAATAATTATCAAAAGTCATGGTACTTAGTGCACTCAGATGTGGATCAAAGGACACAATACACAACTAATCAAAGGGAAACTCTTTGGAGAATAAAATATTTAAATTGAAGATTTAATAGAAGACTTTGCAAATGTGGGATTGGATCAACAAAGCAGAACACTCACTGAAAGTAACATAAAAAAATTCAGTCAGTTTGCCAATCAAGAAATAACTAAACTGCATAATTTTGAATATATAGATGGAAAATCCTGGGATGGGTGGATAAAAAGAATACTTCCCAATCCTTAATTAACAGAAGCTAATTTAAAATTCAAAACTCACCTGACAGAAGCATTGGATCTTTCTCAACAGATTTGCGAACTTGATCTGACTCTCCAGTTAAAGAGCTTTCATCAATCTTAAGGTCGTTTCCTTGAATAAGCACCCCATCAGCAGGTAAGAGGTCACCTATTATTCAAAACAAGTTAAGGAGGAAAAATAAGATTTGGACATATGATGTCTGAATTTTCAAACACATCTTCCAATGTATTTCAATAATTAAAGTTGACACTTTTTCTCCCTTAGGAAGCTCTTCCTAATTTTCACCAGACATCATTATAGTACTAATTGCTACCTGTTCACATATTACACTAAATGTAATATGTGAACTGTGGCGCAGCTGCCTAAGTGTCAGCTGCATTAAGATCACTTCTGACAGAAAGGTCATGAGTTCGAAGTCAGTCCGGGTCGGAGTGAGCTTCCAACCAATTGTGTAGCTTGTTGTCGACCTTTGCAACCCAAAAGACAGTTGCATCTGTCAAGTAGGAAAATTAGGTACCACCTATGTGTAGGGAGGCTAATTTAACTAATTTACGAGGCATAAAAAAGACTCCAGCAAAGCACTCCAGCAAAAACATGCTGGGAATGCGGAAGTACTTCATCAGAGTTGCTGATGGACGATGAAAGCGACAGCTCCCCTGGCAGATAGAAAAGTGGAATGTTAAATAGCCTCTGACTGTCTGTCTATATCTGTTGTGTGTCTTTAGCACCGAATGTCTGCCATATATGTGTACATTGTAATCCGCCCTGAGTCCCCTGTGGGGTGAGAAGGGTGGAATAGAAATACTGTAAGTAAGTAAGTAAGTAAGTAAGTAAGTAAGTAAATACAAAATCTGGCTGTTCAGATGAAAAAATGTACCATGTGAACAGATTATTAGTAACTTATTCACCCGTTATTTCTCCATGGCAGTATTTCTCAAACTGTGCTCCTCCAGGTCTTTTGGACTTCAGGTCCCAGAAATCACAGACAGTTTACCAGCTGTTAGGAATTGTGGGAGCTGAAGTCCAAAAACATCTGGAGGAGCACAGTTTGAGAACCCCTGCACTATGGGGTCAGTAATGCTTCATCACACATATTTTTCATCACCTTTCTTTGTACGCCATTACAAAAGGGATTGTCCATCTGCTAAAGAAATCTAGTTATGACTGCTCCAATTATTTCATATTTATGTCCCTCAAAAGGCAACATATGCTCCCTATATATGATTCTATTCCAGCGATTTTAACCACAGACAGGGATTACAATTGTATGCCCTGCTATAGATGTGGAGACACCAGGGGCTCTCCCACACAGCCCTATATCTCAAAATATCAAGACAGAAAATTCCACATTATCTGAGTGTGGACTCAGATAACCCAATTCAAAGCAGATGTTGTGGGATTTTCTGCCTTGATATTCTGGGATATAGGGCTGTGTGGAAGGGCCCCCGGTAACCCAATGAATTTCCTGCAGATCTATAGGTTGCATTCATGTCTACAGAGGAAGCCAATGCAATATGGTCAGAGAGAGGAAGAGGTGATGAAACTCTCTCAGTTGGAGATGGAGAAAATATTCTTGTTGGAGAACTCAGTGCTTTTTTAACATTCAATTTATTAGCAACATAAGAATAGTCCCTCCCAGCAACCCTTAATGTCGGCCCCTCTACACTGCTATATAATCAATTTCAAAGCAGATAATCTGGATTTTAAATGACAGTGTAAATGGGTCCATAGTATATAAACTGACTTTACAGATGTTTTGCAGTTTTCCAGAACAGGCTTCAGAGCTGTATGTAAGACAAAAAAGGAAACCAACCCCTTCACAATACCACTGAAGCACCATCTACACTGCAAAATAAAATCCAGATTATCTGCTTTGAAGTAGATTACATAGCAATGTAGACTCAGGTTGGATCTACACTGCCATATAATCTAGATTATCAAATCAAATAATCCATATTATCTGCTTTGAACTGGATTGTACAAGTCTATACTGCCATACAATCCCATGCAAAGCAGATAATCAGGATTGTATACGACAGTGAGGAACCAGCCTGAGGCCTTTTCTACACTGCCATACAAAATCCAGATTATCTGCTTTGAACTAGATTATATGGCAGTGTAGACTCAGATAATAATGCGGATTATCTGCCTCGATATTCTGGATTATATGGAAGTGTAGAAGGACCCTGAGAGAACCCACATGACAAAATTATAGATTTTGGCTGTATTTTCCAGAAGGTATATATGAAGGTTTACCATATTTGATCTGTGCAATGTCTCCAACTACTAGCTCTGCTACTGGGATCTGAATTACTTGTGAACCTCGGACGACAGTAAACTTCTGTTCTTGCTCAATACGACTTTGAAGCCCACGGAACTGCTTCTCTTTGCTCCAGTCATTAAAGGCAGTGACCAGTACCACACAAATGACAGAGAGGAGAATGGCAGCGCCTTCAATCCAGCCAGCCTCCGCTTCACCCTCATCTTCTGCTCCTCCTGATGCAGTTGCGCAGGCTTGAGAGACAGCAAAATAGAGCAAGAAAGAGATCGGATTTTTTAATAAAATAAATGCCCACGTTTTTATCATACTTTGAATTTTTAAATGCAATATTAATAATATATCAAATGCAACCTAGATACAAGAGAATCAAGTATTGTGCATGAAAAACAAAGAAGCTTTGTGACTGTTTTTTTCCTCCCCTGGAATTTATAAACAGTTACCACTTCAGAATGGATTAGATGTTCAAATGATGGACACAACTGCACCAGATACCTGTACAAGTTGGACAAGTGCCCCAGAAGGATACAGAAAAATAAAAAATAGTAAACTAATTAATAATTAAAGATGGACTCTTCCAATGCATACACATTATGGCATGCCTGTATTATGTAAATTAGGGGATGGTGAAACACAGAGGCCCCTTCCACACAGCTGAATAAAATCCCACATTTTCTGCTTTGAACTGGAATAAATGGCAGTATGGACTCAGATAACCCAGTTTAAAGCAGATATTGTGGAATTTTCTGCCTTGCTAGTCTGGGTTACATGGCTGTGTGGAAGGGCCCAAAATGCTCTGAACCTGGACTATTCCTGATCTGCTCCCCAAGACCTCCAAGCCACAAACATTTTCCTCATTGAATGTGAGCAAGGACCTTCATTCCTAAATCCTTTGAAATTTATTCCAAAAAGCTAGTAAACTGCCTAAAACTGGTTCTACACTACTCTATAGCCAAGGATCTGATCCCAGATGATATGCTAATCCCAAATTCTGATAGTGTAGACTCATATAATTGAATTCAAAGCAGATAATCTGGCATCAGATTCGGGGATATAAGGCAGTGTAGATCTAGTCTATGACATGTTTTCCCCTCCAGAGATTGCTGCAATGAAAGGGGGTGATCTCTATAAGGAATACCTTATTTAATTGAAAGTTATAATTTCCAATTGAATTTAACACAGGGTGAAAGGAAATTCGAACAATTAATTAAGCATTTGCAATTTCCTTAAATAAATAACATTGACATATAATATGTATTATTATTTATTAAAATCTCTGTCTGTGTGTGTGCACGTGCCTTCAAGTCACCTGTCAATTTATTGCAACACCATGGATTTCATAGGATTTTCTTAGGCAAGGAATACTCAGAGGTGGTTTTATCAGTTCCTTCCTCTGAAATATAACCTACAGCACTGGTATTCACTGATGTTATCCCACCCAAGCACTAATCAGATCTGACCCTGCTTAGATTCCAAGATCAGATGGGAACTACTGCCAGTAGACATACCTTCCACTATGTCATGGGATCTCAGGATAGCATACAATAAAATCACTTTAACAACATTTGAAACAATTGAAATTATTTAAATTGATTAAAAGCATATTAAGTCAACAAGTTAGTATAAAACTAATGAGATTAGTCTTTTTAAAGTCATATGCAAATTTTGATTGGATCTGTTAAACCTCAAAGGCCTTGATAAAAACTTTTGGTTTTACTTGGCACTTTATATCAATGTTGGTGGAGATCTGGCCCCTAAAGATATCCCATAATCATGGTCACTGGTGAGTGACAGAATACCTTCCTTTTTTGGAAAGCGCATACAGGGGAAGAGCTCTCTTTTATTGGGATCCCGGGCCATTCAGAATTTGAATATTACCAAGAACACTTTGAATTCAAACTAGAATTGGTAGCCAGGGCAATTCCTTTCAAACTGATGTTATGCAATTTCTATATGACTTTGTGGTCAAGAGTCTAGCGGTTGCATTTTGCACTCATTTAGGTTCCAGGTCATCTTCAAAGACAGATCACACTGTTGTTATTAACACATTAACTTCTACAGCTAAATTTCCCTTGTTTAGAAAAGGCTGTAGGCGGAGAAACAGTCAAAGGTGACACCAAGCACTCAAACTCATGGAGTCCACCTGTAGGTGGATTTAGTGATAACTGCATCCACTGCAAAGCTCCCCAAAAGAACCCCTAAAAAGTTTCTGAAACTTACATGGATGCCATTATATTCCTCCTTGTGCCAGAAGAACATGAAGAAATGATGTGCCCGGAGACCAGGGGGGAGGGGTGAGAAGGAAAATGGGGCTGGGGGGGGGGGAGTGAGACTACCCAGAAGTGAGTCCTCACAGGTCCAATACCCCATTAGACTGAGCATTTCAGGAAGGCCTGGATCTAATGGGTTATTTAATTAATTTGGAATAATTTGGTTATTCCAAATTAATTTGTTTTTATTGGGGGCATCATTTGAATGGCCCTGATAAAAACCCAGACAGGTCCCATATTTTGAGCCTGTTTGGATGGGCCCTCGGGCCCCTTCTACACTACAATATAGTGTAGAAGGATTATATGGCAGTGTAGAATCATATAATCCAATTCAAAGCACATAATGTGGATTATCTGATTTGATAATCTGGATTATATGGCAGTGTAGAAGGGACCTCAGTTTCAGTTAACTGGCCCACAATTAATCCATTAAATAGCATCCAGGCATAGCATTCTGATAGGACCCAAACAACTAACAACCTCACCCACCAGCTTCAGAAATATGCTGAACAACACAATCCCACAAGGCTATACTCTAGAAAAGGGGTTGGAAATAACACAGTAGTTAATGATATCAAAACCTGTCAAGCAATCTAGCAGGAGCAGCAAGATACCACTTCTGTCGTTTATTCAGAGAAGGTCATCAAAATCAGACAACCAAGCTGTTTTTGGTACCAGGCTTTGGCTTGAAACCAGACTGAAATGAGTCCAGACAGTGTTTCCCCCAGTGTCCACCAATCACATGCTGGAGCACTGTGTCCCCAATGGGGACATTACCAATGGGAGTGGAATTCCCACACACCTGTGGGTTCAGGAGGCCCTCTTTAAGGTAGGATATACTACAGCTGTCCCTCTGACATTATGAGATATTGACTTCTCCCTGGATTTACCAGATTATTGCATCTCCTCCGTCCTCCTTTAAAAAGCATTCATGAGGACAGATGACAAATCCAAGCATTTCTTCAATATTTTGAAAAGCAGGATGGTAAGAAAGCTCCATATGAATGCATTAAATAATATATTTTGGCTCATTTGCATGTAGTAGTCATAGTTACAAGTAACTTAATAATATTGATTACATTGTTGAGTGAATTAAATTGTTGTGACCATTTAAATCAAACTTCTTTAGTAATACTTGTAGCATTAGCAAAGAATTGTCTCCTACAATTGAACTGTATTTAAAATAGCATGTAATCCACTTACTTATGAATTTATGAATAGCATCAAACAAATCAGCCACCACAGTAAATTTATTTATTGATGTCTTTTAAAAGGAAGCTATTATATGTCTATCACACATGAATGCTTACTGAAAGTGGAAAAAGTATGTATAATTAATTTTTTAATTAAAGTAACTGATGGCATTTGAGGAATAAATCAATTTAATTTAACTGCTATTTTGGCACTAGGTGAATCATTCTGGCTGATGTAAAACTATCTATAGGATGTTATTATATTGTATCAACATCGAATAGTTGGAAGTCGTCCTGAGTCCCTCTTCAGAGGTTGAGAAGGACAGAGTATAAATGTGCTAAATAAATATATAAAATGCTGTGTAGTCAGCCCTCCATATTGGCTAGGTTTTGGGGCACTCACAAAAGTGAAAAACCACAAATGTAAAAAATTGTCATTATTTTGTTTGAGAGAGTAACACCCTAGGAATAGCTAGGTTCTCCAGAATGACTCCATGGTCAATTTCTATAGGGACTGATTATAGAGTTGCACTGGAGGACTAAAGATTCCTAGGAAGGCGTTTTCTCTAGGAATTTCTACGTTCTCTAGCATTACTCTAGGATCTGGTGAAATTGACTATAGGGTTGCACTGGAAGATTGCATGAGAAAATATTTTAATCAAATCTGAGAATGAGCAAATTTCCAAAAAGTCAAAGCCACAAATGTGGAGGGTCAACTGTAATTCCATTTCTACCCAGCAGAAGGAAAAATTTTAAAGTCTCATTGTGACATGCAAAAATGAAATCGATGATCATTGCAGGTTTACTGCAAGAATCAATTTTACAGTTTGAAATTGAAAGCATTTTCCCACATATTAAATGTTCTGGTTTATGCACTGTACTATTTACCGTATATTCCGGCAGGTAAGATGACTGGGCGTATAAGACGACCCCCAACTTTTCCAGTTAAAATATAGAGTTTGGGATATATTCGCCGTATAAGACTACCCCTCTTCCAACACACACCAAATAAAAATTTAAAAAGCATCAGATTTGATTTCAATGTGGAAATTTTCCTACTACTGTACCTCCTTCTCTGCCTCTTAGATCTCGCACATGCGCACCTGCACCACTTCACTGCAGTCTTCAGGAGCGAGATCTGAGAGGCAGAGGAGGAGATATGGTAATAGGATACAAGGACGGGCCAGACAGGTAGAAGAGGTGTGTTTGTCTGGGCCCAGAGCCACTCTATCTCTTTTTTCCATACCCCGGTTACCCCAAAAGCCTGCAGCTTGCTCCGCCCTTCACTCACCTGATGGTGAGGTGAGGCACCCCTTCACCTCACCATCAGGACTGCATTAAGTCCACAAATCCTGATGAATGGATTTTCTTCTACCGTACTTGTACAGCGTCACCCTTCATACTTTCATACAGTTGCTGCATATGGCAGGGACACAGCCATTGCCATTTTTGAGCTTCCCCCATCATATGCAGCAACCACAGATTCTCCAATCCGATTGGAAGTTTCAGCACCTGCTCTATAAGATGACTCCCATGTATAAAACTACTCCTGTGTATAAGACTACTCCCATGTATAAGACAACCCCACGTATAAGACAACCCCTGACTTTTGAGAAGATTTTCTTGGGTTAAAAAGTAGTCTTTACACCAGAATATATGGTACATGTTAACATTTTGTGCCTTCAAGTAGATTCCAGCTTATGGTGACCCTATTACAAGGTTTTATCTGCAAGATTTGTCCAGACGAGGTGTGCTATGGCCTTCTGCTTAGGC